ACACAACACACACCACACACAACACACGCACACACGCACACACGCACACACGCACACACGCACGCACGCACGCACGCATGCACGCACGCACGCACACACGCACACACGCACACACACACACACACCGACACGCGCGCACACACACACACACACACACACACCACACACACACCACACACACACGCACACACACACACACAAAAACATACAACACACAACACACAACACACAACACACACACACACATATTATGTTTTTTTGTTCTCTCTCTCTCTATCTCTCTCTCTCTCTCTGGCATTCTCGCGCACCCAGTACAACGTTTCGTGGCCCCATAGGGAGCTCCACCGAAGTCCCCAGTGGGACCGCCCGCATGTGTCCCACACACCGAATTTTGCATTTTCACCCGCCCAGTACAGCGCTGCGTGGCCCCACAGGGAGCTCTTCCGAAGCGCCCAGTGGGACCGCCCGCATGCGTCCCAGACACCCAATTGGGCTTTTTCGCCCACCCAGTACAGCGCTTCGTGGCCCCATAGGGAGCTCCACCGAAGCCCCCGGTGGGACCGCCCGCATGCGTCCCACACACCGAATTTGGCACATCCCTCACACGCTTCGTGGCCCCATATGGAGCTCCACCGAAGGCCCCAGCGCCACCGCCCGCATGCGCCTCCCACACCCATTTCGGCACACCCCTCACACGTTCCGTGGCCACATAGGGAGCTCCACCGAAGCGCCCAGTGCTACCGCCCGCATGCGTCCCCCCACTCAGTACAGCGTTTCGTGGCCCCGTAAGGAGCTCCACAGACGGCCCCAGTGCTACTGCCCACATGCGCCCCCCCTACCCAGTACAGCGCTTGGTGGCCCCATAGGGAGCTCCGCCGACGGCCCCAGTGCTACCGCCCACATGCGTCCCCCCACGCAGTACAGCGCTTCGCGGCCCCATAGGGAGCTCCAACGACGGCCCCAGTGCTACCGCCCGCCTACGCCCCCCCATCCAGCGTTTCGTGGCCCCAAAGAGAGCTCCACCGAAGGCCCAGGTGCCGCCCGCATGCGTCCCCCCACCCAGTGCAGCGCTTCGTGGGCCCATAGGGAGCTCCAACGACGGCCCCAGTGCTACCGCCCGCATGCGACCCCCCCACGCAGTACAGCGCTTGGTGGCCCCACAGGGAGCTCCGCCGACGGCCCCAGTGCTACCGCCCGCATGCGTCCCCCCCCACCCAGTACAACGCTCCGCCAAAGGTCCCAGTGTTGCCGCCGGCATGCGCCCCCCCATGCAGTACAGCGTTTCGTGGCCCCGTAAGGAGCTCCACCGACGGCCCCAGTGCTACTGCCCACATGCGTCCCCGCCACCCAATACAGCGCCTCGTGGCCCCATAGGGAGCTCCACCGAAGGCCCAGGTGCTACCGCCCGCATGCGTCCCCCCCACCCAGTACAGCGTCTCGTGGGCCCATAGGGAGCTCCGCCGACGGCCCCAGTGCTACCGCCCGCATGCGTTCTCCCGATGTTTCACCGAAGAAGGTATTCACAAATGCGGTGCCCACAACCGATATGGTTGGGTCCTTCGCCAGGATAATTTTCAAAATCCTCGGTCTTGGAGCGCTGGAAGCAGGAAAACGTGAGAAGGAGAACAACGTCGACAACAACCATTGGAAAGCAACGATTTTACCACCTTCGAGCTCTCTCTGGACGGCTCTCGAAGCTCTCTTGGGCTGTTTGTGGGGCCTCGTCGGGGATTTGTTGGGAGCCTCTCAAGAGTCTGGGGTGTGTTGGAGGCCTCTGGGGGGTCCCGGAGTCCTCTCGGAGGTCTCTGGAGGCCTCCTGCTCCCGCTCTTGGGCTCATCTTGGGAGCTGTCCTGGGCGCCTCATCGGCAGTCTTGGGGCTGTCTTGGCCCGTCTTGGGGCCGTCTTGGGGGCCTCTTCGACGGTCTCGGGGCGGTCTTGGGAGCCTCTTCGGCCGTCTTGGAGCGTTGGAAGCAGGAAAACGTGAGAAGGAGAACAACGTCGACAACAACCATTGGAAAGCAACGATTTTACCACCTTCGGGCTCTCTCTGGACGGCTCTCGAAGCTCTCTTGGGCTGTTTGTGGGGCCTCGTCGGGGATTTGTTGGGAGCCTCTCAGGAGTCTGGGGTGTGTTGGAGGCCTCTGGGGGGTCCGGGAGTCCTCTCGGAGGTCTCTGGAGGCCTCCTGCTCCCGCTCTTGGGCTCATCTTGGGAGCTGTCCTGGGCGCCTCATCGGCAGTCTTGGGGCCGTCTTGGCCCGTCTTGGGGCCGTCTTGGGGGCCTCTTCGGCGGTCTCGGGGCGGTCTTGGGAGCCTCTTCGGCCGTCTTGGAGCGTTGGAAGCATGAAATGGTGATCATGCAAAACACCTTGAACAAAACCATGAACATTAACGATTTCAGGTTCTCCGGGCGCTCTCGGAAGGCCTCTCGGAGCTCTCTTGAAGTCTCTTGGAGGCCTCCTGGAGCCTGGAGAGCCGCGCGAAAGCTATCCTGGGTTGCTTGGGAGCGTCTTGGGCCGTTCTTTTACGTTCTGGTGGCTTTTTGGGGTCGTCTTGGGCTGTCCTTGTGCGTTTTGGGGGTTTCCCGGGAGGTCGGGAAGCGCGGTGCCAGTATCGTTCCGCAGATGTTCCGGGAAGGAATGGGACCCACGGGAGGATGGTGGCGTATTTGTTGAACTTGAAAAAAAGCCCAGGTGCCGCCCGCATGCGTCCCCCCCACCCAGTGCAGCGCTTCGTGGGCCCATAGGGAGCTCCAACGACGACCCCAGTGCTACCGCCCGCATGCGTCCCCCCCACGCAGTACAGCGCTTGGTGGCCCCACAGGGAGCTCCAACGACGGCCCCAGTGCTACCGCCCGTATGCGCCCCCCCACCCAGTACAGCGCTTCGTGGCCCCATAGGGAGCTCCGCCAAAGGTCCCAGTGCTGCCGCCGGCATGCGCCCCCCCACGCAGTACAGCGTTTCGTGGCCCCGTAAGGAGCTCCACCGGCGACCCCAGTGCTACTGCCCACATGCGCCCCCGCCACCCAATACAGCGCTTCGTGGCCCCATAGGGAGCTCCACCGACGGCCCCAGTGCTACCGCCCGCATGCGTTTTCTCCACCCAGTGCAGCATTCCGTGGCCCCATAGGGAGTTTCACCGAAGAAGATATTCACAATTGCGGTGCCCACAACTGCATATGCTTGGGTCCTTCGCCAGGATAATTTTCAAATTCCTTGGTCTTGGAGCGCTGGAAGCAGGAAAACGTGAGAAGGCGAAAAACGTCGACAAAAAACATTGGAAAGCAACGATTTTACAACCTTCGGGCTCTCTCTGGACGGCTCTCGAAGCTCTCTTGGGCTGTTTGGGGGGCCTCGTCGGGGATTTGTTGGGAGCCTCTCAGGAGTCTGGGGTGTGTTGGAGGCCTCTGGGGGTTCCCGGAGTCCTCTCGGAGGTCTCTGGATGGCTCCTGCTCCCGCTCTTGGGCTCATCTTGGGAGCTGTCCTGGGCGCCTCATCGGCAGTCTTGGGGCTGTCTTGGCCCGTCTTGGGGCCGACTTGGGGGCCTCTTCGAATTCCTCGGTCTTGGAGCGTTGGAAGCGGGAAAACGTAAGAAGGCGAAAAACGTCGACAAACAAACTGGAAAGCAACGATTTTACCCTCTTCGGGCTCTCTCGGGAAGGCTCTCGAAGCTCTCTTGGGCTGTTTTGGGGGCCTCGTCGGGGATTGTCTGGGAGCCTCTCAGGGGTCTGGGGTGTGTTGGAGGCCTCTGGGGGGTCCGGGAGTCCTCTCGGAGGTCTCTGGAGGCCTCCTGCTCCCGCTCTTGGGCTCATCTTGGGCTGGGGTGGTCTGGAGCTGTCCTGGGCGCCTCTTCGGCAGTCTTGGGGCTGTCTTGGCCCGTCTGGGGGCCGTCTTGAGGGCCTCTCGGGCGGTCTCGGGGCGGTCTTGGGAGCCTCTTCGGCCGCCAAACACCTTGAACAAAACCATGAACATTAACGACTTTAAGCTCTCCGGGCGCTCTCGGAAGGCCTCTCGGCGCTCTCTTGAGGTCTCTTGGAGGCCTCCTGGGAGCCTGGAGAGCCGCCCGGAAGCTATCCTGGGTTGCTTGGGAGCGTCTTGGGCCGTTTCTTTGACGTTCTGGGGGTCCCGTAGCCATTTTGGCTCAAATTGTCATTTTGTCAAGGCAGCTGGCCAGGACAGCTTTTGCAGTGGGTAGGCAGGCGCCACGGCCTCGCCCACGGTGCGTGTCTCGGTGAGCTCCTGAGAGAGCAACCAAGTTTATCTACACTGTGCTCATGAGTTCTAAGGATGTTCCCTTGGGCCCGAAGCAGCCGTAAGCACGATTCAGTCAGGAGGCAACTCATGGGAGGCCTTCGCCAGCAAGATTAAGGAACACGAAGCCCGATCAAGGGGCCATGGAGCCCAATTGGCTCGGGCCAGAGCTCCGCGTCCTTGACCGCGGCGGACTCGAGCGAATCCGGGGAGCGAGTCTGGGCCGCAGCCTGTGCAAGGATCACGCCTTCGCGCCGTGTGGCCTGACGGTGCAGGGTGGCTCGGGCCAGACTAGCGAAGACGGAGGGGAAGGTTCGCCAAGGGGAGGGGAAGGAGGCCAAGGCGAAGGAAGAGAACGAGCCGTATGAGATGGAGGCTTGGGGAAGACGAAGCGGCCGTATGATACGACTACGAATAACGTATAGTAAAATTAATAATAAGACGAATAGTGCTACTAATCGTAATAACGAAACTAATACGAATACGAATGATGGTACGAAGAAGTAACAGTGTAATCAGAAAACTGAAAGGATGAACGAACACGAGGAACAACATGGAGACCGACAGACATGTAAATATGAATATGAATACAGGGAAGAGGATGAGGAGGAAGACGGGGACATATGGTGAAGATCAACGAACGAGGGAATCGGGCGAAGAATGCGAGAGTGAACAAATAGCAAAAGGAATTGCGGAATCGGGAAGAGATGAGGACGAGGATGAGGATGAAGAGGAGGAACAGGGAGCCAGGAGGCGCTCACGCCCTTTTGCGGGCACTGGACAGCTGGTCCGCCCCGATTTTGAGGCCGTGCTTCTCCACGAACCGGAGCCAGCTCCACCAGTGGTCGCTGTGCCGCAGGGTGGCGGGGTTGCCGATAACGATGAGGCCCATCTGCGCGCGCGTGAGGGCGACGTTCAGGCGCCGCTTGTCCTCGAGGAGCAAGGGCAACAGGGGAACATGTGTTGCCCCAGCGTGGATCCCAAACGGTGAGTTATTGCACTACGGATGCGCAAGCTGTGTGGCGCGAGCCACCTGGGGTAAGATATGTGGCACGATTATGGTGTGTGAGCCCTGTGGCCTAAGCTATGCAGCGCAAGCGGCGTGGCGCGAGGTCGTGCAATCTACGCGGCGCACGTATGTGGAGCACAGTCAAGCCGCAGTGGGAAGGGTGCGCGGTCGGGGTGCAAGGGCCTTGGAAGGCCACGCTGACGCTTCGTGAGTGGGGTTGGCCAGCCCAAGCGGCCAAGGATGGGCCGAAGGGGCAAGGATGCAAACAAAAAACAAAAAAAACATGGTTTGGGGCATTGCAAAAACATGTGTTTACAAACAACAAAAAACTTGTTTGTTTTTTGGGGCACCCAAATTAGGAATGCAGGAATGTAGGCGCGAACTGTAGGCCGAGGACCTGTCGAGTTCTGTGCCCGCTGCGGGGTGATATATACTTATGATGCCAAACGGTCACAGATCGCTCGCTTGTGGGAGATTATGTTCGTAGGGTGTTCAGCCCAAGCGTTCTCTACGCCGTCCCCGGCTGGATGAGCAGAGGGGGGTCCGCCGCGCCCTAATTAGGACAACTGCTCATCCTTGCTGTGCGGGTCGACAGTCAGCTATGCGGCGCCCACGAGCCGCACCCATTCGTCTGCCAGGCGAAGCCTCGCGGCGCACCCGCCCGCAGCACGGGGCGACCACGAGCCGACCACCAGACGCCCACCAGGCGAGGCCGCGCCGCACGCGCCCGCGCCACGGGGCAACCACGCGGCGACCACAAGGGCGAAGCCTCGCCACACCTGCCCGTGGCCACGGCCGCGGAGCTCGGGCGGGGCGGACCTCTGGGGGAGAGCAGGATGGGCCCATTGCCCACCACCACCACAATAGGCAGGACGGTGGAGAACCGAGGATGGGGAGGTCTGCCTCCTCCTCCTCCTCCTCCTCCTCCAGGAATTATCCTTGCAACTAACTTCTCCCTGTCGCACCCCGAGGCCAGTTTTTTTAGGGCGGGCCGGGCGCTTCGCCTAAGACTGCCTCACCATGTGTGACTCTGAAGCTAACTTGGCAACAGTTTAACAGATGGAGGGCGGGTGGTTTTCAAAATGTGGCTCTCGCCTTAGCGCGGCGCACATGAACAAATGCAAGAGCTTCACGGGTTGAGGACGGGTCGTTTTCAAAATGTGGCTCTTGCCTTAGCGCGACGCGCATTCGTTCTTTCATTGAAGGCGGCTCCTCTTCAACATGTGGTTCTCGCCTTAGCGCCGCGCACACTCGTTATATATATATATATATATATATACATACATACATACACATATACATATATAAATACATTGATGTGTGTGTTTCTTACACGGAATCCCATCATCAACGTACCAGAAATGGTGTTTGGAAAGGAGTCAGGATTACGCGGGCGCAACAGTTACGTTGATTCGATGTGATGGCGTCCCAAGAATGGCGTTCTGGAGCGATTCTGGATCGTCAACACGCAACAGTCAGGTTGATCCGCGGCGTTGAAATCCCGAGAACAATGTTTTGGCATGCTGCACGGTCTTCAAACGGTTGTCTTCCAACGCGGCAGTTCCCTCAATGGAAATGAACCGTTGTAGGGGCCCGTGAAGAGGGAGCTTGGAGGGAGGGTTTATTCCAACAGCGTCGATGCCTCTTGGGTTTACACTGGTCCTCCTCCTCCTCCTCCTCCTCCTCCTCCTCCTCCTCCTCCTCCTCCTCCTCCCTCCACTCCTACCTGAGAGGGGAACTGTGCGCACCCGCCGCCGCCTGGTCCCCGCGTGCCTCGGCGCCAGCCCTTCTCATCCCTGCACCTCTTCGCACTTCGCACAGCCGCTCAGCGTTGGCTCCTCTGGGCTTCTGGGGGCCCCCGGGGGACCGCGGGGCCGTCGGAAGCGGCCCTGCATGGGAACACACGCCTGCAGGGGCATGGGTCGGGACCTCTGGGCGTCCACCGGTGCGAAAACAGTGCGCCGTCGGAGGTGTGGGTTCTGCCCCCTTTCCTCTGGCCTCGTCTCTGGCTCTCTCCTTCCTCCCCCCTTCGGCCAGCCCCTCTCTCGAAGGGGCGCTGCCCCGAAGTCCCAGTGGAGCTCGTCATAGAGGGGGAGCGGCCCGGGCTCCACTCGAGCGGCGTCGAGTCGTCCGCCGCCGCAGCCTCAGAACTTTATGCAACACATGCAGGTGACCAGCGACATCACCGTCGATTGCCGATGGGGAGCAGTTGCCTGCTCAATGAGAAAGGGGGGGCTGCGCACGTACACATCGCATCAAGTCAGGACGTGCTGACACACACGGCCTGCACCTGCCTTCTTATGTGCAGGCCCGCAAAATGGTCACCACGACGCGGTCAAGCTGGCGGCCTGCGGGTAATAGTCCTCGGGCGACCGACCATGCACTCAGCCTGCGGCATGCCTCGCCTGACGGGTTGTCGGCTGAGCGCCGGACTTGAACATTGCGCGCGCCTTCTTGCTGAATGCTGCAGTGTGTGTTGTCCATGGTTGCGTTTGTTCTGCAAGCGGCTGCCTCTGCCCATTCCTCCCATCTGCTACGCCAGGTGGAACTCCGCCTGAACGCGTCCGGGCTTAGCGCTTCGAGACGGTGCCGCTGCCTCTCCGCTGAAGGGCACAATTGTCCATCGTTTGTTCTCCGAGCTTTGCCAAGCGGCAGTGATGATCAATTTTGCACCACCATCGCACCATCCTTCGACGGCGCAGTGACGTCCATCAGGCGCTCGGCACATGCTCGTCGCGTGCCTGAGGACGGTCCCGCTCAGAGCTCCTGCGCAGCCAGCCTCGCACCGCTCGCTTGAAGAAGAACAAACGCCATAAACATAAACTTTCGGCACTCCGTGCGGACTTCTTGGATCCGCGCTGGACCCCCCTCCCTGGCGCGCGGAGCGCGCCAGGGGCGGCGCCGGAGGCGCCGCCAGGGCGGCCCAGCGCGGATCCAAGAAATCCGCGCGCAGCGCCAAAAGTTATGCTCATGGCGCGTGTTCTTCTTCGACTCGCGTTCATCAGCACACTTGCGGCACTTCGCTCGCGGAGATGCAGCTCTCGCATCGGAGATTCGAGGCCGAAGCCAGCCGTCCACCAGGCGAAACCTCGGCACGCCTGCCCATATAGCACGGAGCGCCACAAGGCAACCGACGGCCGCCCACCAGGGGAAACCTCGCCTCACCCGCCCAGCGCACGGGGCGCCCACGAGGCGCCCAGCTACAGGCAAGAAACCTTGAGTGCAAACCACGTTTGAGGAAGAGGTTTCGGACGTCCGCGGACGACAATTTTCCGCAAGCGCTGGGCCCCCTCCCACGCCCCTCCCCGGCGGCGCGCGAGGCACGTTGGAGCTGGCGCCGAAGGTGCCACGCAGGGGTGTGGGTGGGGGGGCCCGCACATGCGACAAACACGCAGCATGTTGACCTTCCAAGTCTATGCTCGCGTTGGGTCATGGCCGCCTGGCTAGCCAACACATCACCCCCCTCGACCTGCCCAGGAGCGTGCTGCGGCCAGAACTTCAGCGCGGACGCAGCCGCGGCGTCGAGGGGGGACCCCCCCGGAGACGCCAAAAGGCACCCAGACGTCCAAAGAACTATAGGGAAGGCCCCCAGGCCCGAAGAGGGCTCACCATCCGAAGAAAACGGATCCTCGAACCCCAGAGCCCCGCGGGTCCCCGAGGAAGCCGATGGTGCTCTCGGCGTTCGAGCGGACGCAGGAGAACACGACCAGAGGCGCCTGTCGGGCACTGCCCCAAGAGGTGCCGCCGCCAGGAGGGCCGCCACCTCCTCCGAGCAGCGCCCCCCCCTCCCCCCCCCCCCTACGGAGGGACCCCACAATGGGCCGCCCCAACAGGGTTCCAAACGACGCTCCAACACACATCCCGAACCCCCTCGAGCCTCGATCCTTCCTGCCCGCGGGGACACAATCCAATCACATGGATTACAGATCTGTGCATCTGGAGCAGCGTCGCGAGATCCACGCCTGGGCGCGAATGAATGGGGGGGGGTAAAATTGTGCAGGGGAGAGAAACGTGCCAATCTCGGGCCCTGAAGGCCACATTTGGGGCCCGAAAGGTCCCATTCAGAGGCCCTTTCCTGCGGCCCTCCCTGCCCTCCCAGTGATCGCACCCCCATCACGCGGCCTCCAACACGCATCGGGGAAGACAGCCCCAGAACATTGGACCAGTGCCGCATCGCTTGACACGGAGAGCGTCGATTTTGAAAACGGGCACGGGGCCCGTCGCCAATCATCTCCTCGTCTTCGCGCCTCCTCGCACCTCCGTCTCCTCCGCCTTCTCCTCCTCCGCCTCCTCCTCATCCGCCTCTTTCCCTCCTCCTCCTCCTCCTCATCATCATCATCATCCTCCTCCTCCTCCTCGCTCCTCCTGGCTTCTCCTCGCTCCTCGCT